TATCGGACAAAAAGAAACGGCCAGAAAACATACTCATGAGGAGTATGCAAAGCTGGTAGACACGATTGCTAATCTGCAGGAACAGTTGGACAAGCACCAGGCACGGCAAACCGGAGACGAGAATGACGAGGACTGAAAAATGCTCATTTCAAAAATGTTTCGATGCAAACAGTAAAAACGAATGCTCACCTCCCTTCATATCTTCGCTCGATGATATACGACTCTACATGCCCGTCCTGAAGAGCATAGGATAGACGCAGATGAAGCCCGTGCTCCAGCAAACGCCCAGTAAAGCTCCCTGCCGGAGCTTATCATGAAACGCGAAAGCCAGAGGCTTCGCACCAGCACCTGGACCTCTCACAAATCCCAGCAACGAGGCTGATATGATCGGTGTTCTCCTCGTGTCGTAGATGGCGATCAAACCAGAGTATACAGCATCACCACCTGTATACGACACCGCCAACCTTTCCCCTGTTCCATCCCAAGCCATCCTCTCAATGCTTCCTCCGGGTCCACAAATCGCTTCTATCTCCGAGAGTCCCAAAGGCAGCAAATGCACCTCCAGCGACGGAGGCTTCCCAGCAAAGTGTAAAGTCCCGAGCGTGCTGCTCTGATCAAAAGCACCCATGATCATCCGGCCATCGGGACTCCACGCCGCGCCCACGAGAGCTCCACCAGCCGAGGCCCACGGCTCGGACGTCCAAGTCATGGTCTCCCAGAGATGAAACGACGCGTCAACTTTGGCCGTGAGCAAGTAGTCCCCGAGCGGCGACCACTTCATGAACTGGACGCCGGCCATTCCCCGTCGCAGCGGTGTGCTCTCCCCGAGAGAGACGTCCCACACTGCGAAAGTCGGCGTCTCGCTCGATCCACACGCCAAGAGCCTTCCACAGGGGCTCCACGAGAGAGCCGAGACGGGCATATCGATCCCCCAGCGCAGAAAATCCACCAGGCTCCATTTCGTAGCCGCTGAGACGAGAGGCACCACAGCCCCGGTCCTCAAAGGTTCGAGCCTCGGTCATATCAGACCAATGTCTCATGTGATAAGTTTTCAGACAAAAAGAACATCTTTAAAATATTCTCCTAAGTTGCTAATAGCCTTTGAGCTAGCAACAATAGCTCACGATAACATTTTTGATTTCTAATCTATCTGTAGTTTCATTTTGTGTAAGCAGTTTATTTCTTAAATTTGTATTTTTTTTATAGAAAACTAGTTAATAGTATGGTGTATATATTTAGAATTTTTTTTAATGGTTTTTCTTTGATATTTGTTTAAGTTAAGATCTTAATGAATGTTAGTAAATATAGAAAGGTTTAGGGTTTAGGTTTTAGGGTTGTATATTAAAAAATATATTTATTATTTAAAGAGATAACAGCATTATAGAAAATATAACATTTTATATAAATGATGAGGCATATCAAATTTTTAGTTTTCAAGGTCTAGCAAAATATATAACAAAAAGTGATTATAGATGGAATAGTTGGTCATTTGAAGGTTTCTTTGAGCATATAAAATATAATACTATTAAATTATTCAACTATGAATTAAAATTTTAATAAATTATTTATTTTATTTAAAATTAATTTACTTATTGTATTATGAAAAAATCTTTTATTTCCTTTTTCAAGGCAAAGACCTAGGCCATCAAATCAAGCATAGACTTTAGGTGAATGAAACAATAAAATCCACCTGAAACAATGAAGAAATAAATGAGAAAGTTGAAACTTATTTTTCTATCTTGATATATAAACAAATAATATTTTAATGCAACTGTGTGCTAATATAAAGTTTTAAAAGTTTATTTATAGATATTTTAATAATGGTTTTCTTGCATAAATAGTAAAATCATTTTTTAAAAATATAATAAATTTATAATAGTGTAATGTGCTAAAACATTTTGTCATTTGGTGTTTTCTCTATGAAAGACTATTGTTATATAATATACTAATTATTAAATGATATCGATAATATAATTTATCCTATGTTTATATATTAGAAAGTTAGAAAGATTTATAAATCAAGCTACCCTAAAACATTAATTAACTCACCATAATTACACATTGGAAGAGAAATCATAGTTCAATTAAAGACAACAATATTTAAAGCTTATAAAGTAACTTTGTAAACCTAAAAATCAAGAAAAGAATATAAATCCATCAAAGAGAAAAAGTAGTATGTGGAGTGATAAATAAACAGAATGCAATAGATAATAGAAAGGTAAATAATACGATTGGATTCTTAAATGGTTAAGGTTAGGAATACAAATAGTACTTAAAATTAATCATTAGCCAACAAAAAGTATTCATTTCATAGCACCAGTAGTCAAAGAGTATTCTCTGCATTGTCATAATCATCCACTGGATTGGTGACAAATGCATGCTTGTACCAGGCCACGGATTGGATAAATTTTGGCCTAGCGCTGCTAGAATCGCGAGGTGCTGGAGCACTGACTGAAGCTTGCCAAGCAAGGGCCTTGTCACCACTGCTGATAACCCGATCTAGGATATCCATTTGCACAGCCAGACGGCATCGCTTGAGATGCCTTAAAGTTTGAATAGCAGTAGTTTCGGGTGGCTTTGTTGGTGCGCCTTGGATCTGGAGCACAACATATGAACGTTGGAACCCCCCTAGAGGGATTTCCTGGAAGTCTAACCATTTTGGTGGACTTTATAATTCATAGGTCTCACAAGAACTAGCCGATGTTTTCTGCAATCTCCGCTTTCGTTCAAACGGAAGAAACATAGATTGTGCAATAGTACCCATTGAAAACAAACGATCATATGGACCATACGTAGGCAATGTACCATATGCTTTTTCAAGGTTTGTGCCGTGTTACTTATAGATAAAACGGATCAATGAAAATCTAGCGCAATTTAAGAGTTTAAACAAAGAAACTTAAAGCACAAATGCAGCAGCGAATCTTTACTCAACGCATGTTTACGAACAAATTCAAGAGGAAGGAGCATAGATTCCTCGCAAGGCAGCGATGGTGCTCTCATTGAGAGACAGCGACGACGCAAGAACTGGAGTGGGGATCTCTGATCCAAACAAGCTCGGCCCCAGCAGCTGGAGTCCAGGCTCCTGGCTGTTAAACACCGCAAACGTAGTAGCAGGCTCGCTGCCAACGTTGTACTGGTAGTGGAGCAGACCCCTGGGAATGATGATCATGTCACCTCTCTGGAGCGTCCGAGCAAACAAAACGTTGTTGGTGTCCACGAATCCGGCCGAGATTGTCCCCTCCGCGACGTAGATGAGCTCCGATGCTCTGGGATGGACGTGAGTCGGAACCACACCCCCGACGCCAAAGTCGGCCCTCGCGATCGAGAGACCCATCGTGTTGAGGCCCGGAAACGTTGAAACTGACGCCAGAATTGCGTTGAAGGTGTTTGGAGCCTGCGTGTTGTTGATGTTCCTGAGGATCTCGGACACGAAGTCCTGGCCGGTGACTGCCGAAGGATTTCTGCATGATCCCGAGGAGCCGCTGCTGCTGTTGTTGGCGACGCAGAAGTCGAGAACTGGATCTGGATCAGCTGCGTTTGCCACGAGAGCCAGTGATAGCAGGAAAAAGCTGATGATGGCTGATCCGGAGGCCATTGCTTGTTCGACTGAAAGATATGCCAGAGCTTATCAGGACTGGCAGATATATGTGCCTCGAACCGCCTATGCCGGAGTTTAAGTCGCATTTGGATGATGATCCTTGTCAAGGAAACACGCAGGCATTCCGCGTATGATAGTTTGACGAAGTCACTGACAGATCGATGGCGTGAAGCAAACCAACCGAGACAATTTAGCATTCTCGAAGTCACTATGACGTTTTTCAGCTGACAATAAAAGCCTCGAGTCTTCATTCAACAGAGAAGACGCCTAAAAAAGAAATTTGATCATAGAACTTACTTCGAGGGCTGCAAGGTGCGAGTATCGAAGTCAAACACCCTCGACTTGTTGGTGAAGAAAAGCCCGAAAGTACCCAGTGATGACGGCTGCAAATCCTCGTTGAACAGCGAGTAGATAAACACTTCGATCGGTCTGTCACGGACCAGAGGGGTCCCCGCACCCGAGAGACAAAGCCTTGCAACGTTTTGATTGTAAGACCTTGACTTGCGAACGCTTGCTCCACTTTTTCCAGTGAACGGCCACCCAGTCTCGGAGACAGCCACCTGGAACAAGGACTTTCACAAGTTTAGACGATTTGCAAACCGTAAGGAGTCAGTCACCTGTATGTCACTGAAACCGAAATTACCAATTGCCGAGTAAACCGCGTCCAGCTGAGCCAAGAACAAATTCTCGTACCGTAGCCTGGAAATGGGATCGACGACCACGAAGCCAGTGGGTTTCAGCAACGCAAATGACTCGGGAAAGTTCCGACCCTTGTCCTGCTGAAACGTCGAGAAAGTGTAAATGTTAACCATAAAGGGAGCACCCGTTTTCGATAGAAACTGTAACAAAGGTCTGACGATTGCTTCATGGTCGAAGGAGCATAGCGACGGCGGAGAAGTCATGTTGAGAATGTTTAGCGAGTGAGTAGTAGAGACCTTCACCTGTGAGTCGATTTTTAGAGTAGCAAGAGCCGAATGTATGTTCTCCATAGCAGTAAGGAGATATGGCGTAATATGCTGTCCAGCCGTTAACACCTCGTAGCCAACCAAGATAGTTGTGATCTTCGTCTGCGGATAAAACAATAATATGGAGCTATTCACCCAGTTCTGGGCCGTGCTGATGTTTGTAGCAAGAGCCGGTATATCGTTGTTAGGAACCGAGACTGTCAGTTCGATGCTTGTGTTGGCGAAGGCCTGCAAAACGGTCGCATCAGTGTCGTAGATCCTAACTTTTGTCACCCCGAGAGATCGAACAAGCTCGACAACCTCCCCAGGCGAAGGAAGCTTTGAGGCTAAGCGGCCATAGTTAACACCCACAGTCCCTGCAGCTGGAGCAAAGCGTTACGACATCAGCCATGGAAACTTGCGATAAGACTGTACCGGAACCTGGAACGGTCGGCGCCACGATCATAATGAACACCAGCCAAAACCAGAGATCCATGCACCAACTAGAGCGCTCCGTTCCACCCCGTAATATATCCTCGTGATCTCCAATAGAAAAGAAACTTACCAGCGAGTTAGGAACTTCATGCTTGCTACGTTAACAGAAATATGCAGATACTCGGAGTGGCATCCTGTCGGACGAGCTGCCCCACCCCCTAACCTCCTAAACCGCTAAATTCTAATGCGAATCCGGCCTCACGATCTTCTTTTTTCTGTGCCCATTGTGGCTAGTACCTGCAAGCCCATCGCCCTTGTTTCGTCTCTTAAAGTCTATCACGTAAGTGCCGTCGTCCCGCTCGGTTTCCAGAGTAGTATAGTCCTCTTCTTGAGGCGATTCTGGGGAGAACTCTCTCCTCTTTTTGTCGTAGTTTTGCATTTTCGGTCTTTTCGTAGGAGCTGCTATCCTGTCCCATACGCTAGGCTTCTGTTGGCGTCCGTAAGTCTCCGAAGAGTTTCTACAGTACGAGCTGGCGGCAGGCTGCTGGTATTCGAAGTGCCGACGTCCTTCAAAACTCCTTTCCCTTTCGGACGGATGCCTCGAGTACTTCGCATCCGAAAACACTGGAGAGTGCTCCCTCTTATACCTCTCCTTTGGTATCGTCTCTGGAATGCTTACTCCATTGAGTGCATGCCCGTTATCCAGAGCCAAACCATTGCCAACCGACGAATACCTGCTTGGCTGTCTAGTAACATCCTCTGGGTATCCATATGAGGCCTTTCTCACGTCAGAACTATAAGTTGGCGCGAACTCTCGGTATTCCGTTGCTGGCTTTCCCGTTGCCATTACCTGTGACATTGCAGGAGGAGCCAGAGCGGTCATTGTGGGTGGGAGATAATCCAACATGTCCGAAACTAAAGCCTTCTTGCTAGCTAGCCTGTAAGAACCATCTTCCATCGGATCCATATTCCGGACCCTGTCCCCATTCCCCATCTCATCATATAGAGACGACCCCTGTCGACCGTAAAAGCTCGATCTAAAGTCTGCGGACATCTGCAAAACGCTGCTGTCCGGTTTCCAGTATCGATCTGCGTCAGTGGTTAAAGCTGTGGTGGCCTCTGGTCTCCCGATACCGTAGCCAAGAGCGTCGCATTTCGAAGAAACGCCAGCATATGAAGAAGGAGCACACTGTTGCCCGGGTCCCAAAGTATCGCCATAGTCGTAGTCGTTGGGCCTCGCGCTACACCAAGTATCCGGCTCAGATCTCTGAGAAGGTGCAAACTTGGCTGCGCTTGCGCTCTCGTAGTATCTTTCGTGTGGTACGTACGAAGTCCGACCAGCAGGCTCCTTATACTCGTTGTAAGTTGGATAGTTAACGCGACTAGGCCCTTCAACGTACGACGTCTTGGAAACCTGCTGCTCAGGCTCATTCTTCCAGTGATCATCCCTTTGATGACGATCACTGCGACCGCTGCGGTAAGTTCGACTATCGGTTGGCCCCCTAAAGTCCGAGTAAGCGTCATCAACTGAGTTGGTTCCAGCTGAAGGAGGGTAGTGAAAACTTCTTGAGCCGCGGGGCACGTCTGCCGGCATGAACAGCCTCATGAGCTTCACCACCTAAGAAGCAAACGAGTCAGACGCGGACTAAGAGACCAGTAAATACTAAAAAAATCCAAAAGTTGTCGTTGCTTGCCTGTTCCTTAGATAGATCAAACTTGAAGCGATTGTTTTCGTAGTAGTTTTCGAGAATCGCATCCTTGTATTCGGTTTCACGCAAAGGTAGGCACTTTTCCACGACACGGAACCGCACCTAGAAGCGAAAAGACCAATTAAAAAGTCCGAAGAATGTTAAAGAACAAGAAAGAAGCTTCATACCTGGAGTGGAAAATCGATGTCCGCTTCTATGAAGGCTTTCGGCTCCAAATCCACCCCCACATAGCTCACGGCCTCAAAAACCCCGTGAAGCTCTCTCGACTCAAACTCAAACAGGAAAAGCTTCATTCCTGGAGTGATGTGATCCGCGAAACGCTTCTTGGTCCTCGGCATTCCAAGCACATTGTAAGCGAGGCACCTCCTCTGCGTCTTCTTGTTGCACATAAAGATCAAACCCGCTATTCCCGGCTCGATTCTACTACTGCCCCCCGGATCCCTGTATGGACTGCGCGGAGAATCCCTCCGATCGACTCGCGAGTCCCAATTCCCCTTGTAATCCCTGCCGTCGTGACCCTCCCTCTCCCTGTGGATTTCCAACCTACCTGGCCAGCTCGGGGGATAATCTTCGTAGCGCCTGTGACGCTGCTCCTCGTCTTGCCGATCGCTCCGCTCGGCGTAATCCTTGTAGGCATCCCTCCGCCGATGCATTTCCTTCTCCAGCGTCATCTTCCTCTTTTGCTAGAACCCTATTCCGTCCAGGGAAAATCCTAGCCGTTGGTCTTGAGTGCGCCTTTAAGGCGCCCGGCTCGAATCCTGCTAGATAGCTACGACGTGGACGGATCTCTGCCGCCGATCGTGCCAGCTCAGTGGCACCCTTCACGTTAACCATCTTGGCTTCCCTCTCTTGGCACTCTTGGCGCTAGGGTTTGATTGCTCTCCTCCGCTGCGACGAGCGACAGGCGGCCGCTCGGATCGATTCTCCTTTGATCCCTTTCATCTTTGTGTGGATCATCGCCTGTTCTTGGCTGCTGTGTGACTGTGTGATTGAAAGGTCGTGGCTTTTGGTGTGATCTTGCCTGTTCTTGCTGCAATATTTCGCTGTTGCATGCTTGTGTGCTCGACTGTTTAACGTGGCATCCTCCAGCAGCGATCGAAGCGCGCCGGTTCCAGGTTGGTTGGATTGCTAGAAATTTTCAGGCTAGATCATAGGCTAGTGATGAGCCCCGTGGATGCGCGTGACCGCCTCTCTCGGCGGCGCGAGGCGATGAGACGCAAGGCGGCAGAGGCGACAATGAAGGCCGCCTCGCACAAGATCCATCCCAAGGCGCACTGCTTACAGGAGAGCGCCAGCGCCATCTTTGAGGGTCTCATTTGCCCGTGCAAGGAGAATTTGATCCATCCAGTCCAGGACATTCCATCCAATCGTCTCATAGCTCGTGTGGTGAGGCCGGGGATGATCCTCTTTCTCTTTGAGCAATCCTTGGGGCGGCTCTACGGTGTCTATCAGGTGGGAGCTTCCAAATACGATGAAAAGGTCTCTCATTCCTTTATTTACATTGTCTAGGCTAAACTAATCGTTGCATCTTTGTTTTCTTATAGATTTCTCTTCACGTTCAACAGCGCTATTTGCCGCTCGAAGGCGTGGAGCTTGAAAACTTCTTCTTAAACAATGATATAAAGCCGCATGTTGGTCCAGAAGTCCTAACTTCGTCACAGGTAGCTTCCCTTTGTGAACCAGCGTTCGCTTATTGCCGTTTCTATTGGCATGCCAGGTCTCGCGTCTCATAGATATGTTTGTCAAGCGTGCCGAGGCCGAATCACGTCTTTATAGTAATGGAGCTTTTGTAGCGGAACACATGTATAAGGATCCTTACGCGCGACTGAATCCTTACGCCTTCTTCTGTCCTTACCCGGAGGACGTGCACGTAGTTGAGAACCACGGCGGTGATGGTGGTTACGTCCACGAGCTCGATGAGCCTGCTCACGTCGGAATTCCTTACGCTCAGATGGCACCAACTGCAGTGCCTCACAGTCACTCTATGACTTCTGGCTGGAATTGTTCACCGATCAATTCAACGCCGTATGTCACCCATCCGATGAAGAACCAGGGAAGGATGGCTGATTCAACTCCAGTACAAGTCACTGGCTACCCGAGGCAAGCGCATCTTGCTCGCAGCTCTGGATCTGCTTTTTTCAGCCCTGTAGCACACTTGGACCATGGCAACTTGGACGGGACGACAGCAGTAAGCCAAGCTGGCTACGGACAGCCGCCTCCGTATAGAGCTCACCATCACCATCCTGCGGAGGTCAGCTACCAGCCCGCTATTCCAGAGGCTAGTGCCAAAGGATACGAGGATTCTCCTGCTGCTGCTGCTCAGGCTAGTAGGAACACCAATGTCTTCCATCAGGTTGAGGGGACACAAAACAGAGCTCCGAAGCAGGTTTCGAAGCTTCCGAAGTCCCTTAACCAGCATCCACGACAACAAAGAGTCAACTTGGCTTCGAACGGGCATCAAACACCGGCTCAAACAACGACCAAGGCTGTCCAGTCGAAGGTGTTACCTCAGAAGAGGCAGAAACCAACGAAGGACAACAAAAGTGTCTTCAACAGGATCAAGCCGGCGACTGTGTTCTCGCGATTAGGATCGTCTTCAGGAGGCAACGACACAATTCCAGCGACCGAGAAGGTGTTCCAAACGGGCGTCTTGGTTCCCGACAAATTCCGTCCACGGCCGCCGAGGAACCAGTCAAGGATGAAAGTTGATAATGTCGAGAGACCAGTGCCTGTTACTTTTGTCCAAGAGGACGACTCTGTGACGGGGAACAGCGGATCGATTGAAGATAGCTCCTTTCCCGTGGACTTCAAGCGTAGAGTTGTGAGCAGCAATGTTTCTTCTGCTCCTCAGTTGAAGAGGCGGAAGATTGTTCGTCCAGAGGGTCTCGGGTGCTCGTCAGGGAATACCGCAAGCTTGAAGGGGCAGGAGGCACAGGGATCAGTAGAGGTGATGTCTCTCAGCTAGGACGAAGAGGCTCCCATCGGACAACAAGTGGTGACGAGACCATCGACGTTTTTCGTTTATTTTACGTTCTGGAGGATCTACTGTACAGCGTTAGCGACAGGTGGAGAAGCTCTAGCTCTCGGGCACACTGGGACATGGTTGGACGACGGGTATCATCGTCTCTGATGCAGTCAAAGGCGAGGCTGGCAAACCTTCTGATGGAGTCCCATTGCCACGGTAGCTCTGCTCGAAGTTCCGGGTCCAGGATCTTCTTCAGCTTTCGTTTCTCTCGCAGCCAGTCCCTGACCTGTCCGTTTCACGGTGGATCAAGACGGGCTTGTGGAAGCAGAGATTAGACTGTACCTGGGTGACAAGGTTTTGCTTCCGCAAGGTGTAGGTGGCATTAACAGGTCTGCGCCCGGTTAGCAGCTCCAGCATGACGACTCCGAAGGCATAGACGTCGCTTTTGAGCGTCAGTCTTCCGGTCTGGGAAGGAAGGGCAAAAGAAGATCGGTTGAGCAAAGCAGCGGCGCACAGGGACGACTTACTGCTGTGTACTGGGGATCAAAGTAGCCGAAAGTTCCGAGGACTCGGGTGCTCACGTACGTTTGGTTGCCGTAAGGCACCAGCTTCGCCAGGCCAAAGTCCGACACCTGGAGCAGCCGAGAAAGTGGAGGCACGGCATTTATAGAGGTGGCAGGGCAGCGAGAAGATTACCTTTGCTTGGAACTTATCATCCAGGAGGATGTTGCTCGACTTGAAGTCCCGGTGGATGACTGGATTTCCGGTGGCAGGGCCATTGTGCAAGTACTCGAGGGCAGTCGCGGCTCCGCGAGCTATGGAGACGCGAGTTCTCCAGTCCATCTTCACTCTGACGATCCCTACGGGAAGAAGAGAAGAAAAGACGTTGGCCGGGCAAGTTTTCGGGTGGAGTGGTTTCTCATACCGTGGAGATGCTCTTGGAGATTGCCGTGGGGCATGAACTCGTAGACGAGCATTCTCTGGCCTTTGTCCGCGCAGTAGCCGATGAGCTTGACAAGATGGGAGTGATCGAGGCGGCTCAGGATGTCCACCTCGACGCGGAACTCTCTCTCGCCTTGGACGCCTTTGCTCAGCGATGGCTCCATTTGCTTCACGGCAACGATCTAGGAAGAACAGCAGCAAAAAGTTGGAAGGAGTTTTGGATCGAGCAAAGCTACCTGGCCGTTTTTGAGGACTCCTCGATAGACTCTCCCGAATCCTCCCTCGCCGAGGAGGTTGTCGGAGCTAAAGTTTGCGGTGGCGAGCAGCATCTCCTTGAGCGTGAAGATGGTGTCGACAATTGGTGGCAGCCTCACGATCGGTGGTGGTGGGAGCTGCTGGAGGAATTGGAGCTCGTCGTCCCAGGTGGAGAAAGTGGAGCTCCAGTAATCGAGCGCCCTGTGCGAAGACCCTGGAGAAGGAAAGAACTCGATCAAGACGAGGGCGAGCGAGCAAAGATGGGCAGCTGCTTACATGAGATCTTTCGATCCGGGACAGGGGTTTCCTTCTTCTTCCTCCTCCTCGGCCATAGCTTGAAAATGGTGAAGACCGCCGCCGGCATTGGATCTAGCTCGAGCTATTGCTCCTCCAAGAACAGGGGCCGGACGAAGAATCGATGCGCTTCGCCATGGCAGGACTCCCGATCTATCTATCGGCAATGCTGAATGGATTCTATTCTATCATCATACCGGTGGTTTCGATCGAGGCGCCGCCACTGCTGGAAGGAAGATCGGTGGAAGATCGAGATTGAAGAACCCTACTCTATCGAGCAGAGGTTTTAGAACACCTCCTCGGAAGCTGAGAGATAGCTACTTGGTTGGAAGGCGGCAATGCATTTCAAATGGTCCTCTCTTTTTTTTTACTGACAGGTTTTTACCGCGGTTGGGCGAGAAGGAAAGGACAACGAAGTTTTTACATTTACACTGCAAACAAACAAATACGCCATGCTAAAGCGTGAAAAAAAGAGCTTCCAGTAAAATCCATTCTGTCGTCGTCCAAGGGCGCGATTAAAGTATTCCCCGCATTAATTATCTAACGACCACGAGGATATTCTGTCCTAGAGAGAATATGCTGTTATTGTTTGAAAATTTGAAATTTCTTTGGCATTGAAAGGTCGCCACGATGTCGAAAGACGAGTTGGATGGGCGTGATTAATATTTTTTTCGGGTCGAATGCGATCGAAAAGTTTTCCAAATTCTCCAAAAGTTGGCTTTGGTTGGGTTGCAGTCGATCGATCGGGGAATTTGATGATCTATGGGAAGAACATCCCGAAAGGAATCCCACTGCCGGCTGCTCCAAGAGGATCCATGTCGTGGCCGAGAGCTTTCTTCAGCGCGGCCTCCACCTCTTTCATGGTTTTGAGGAACTCCTCGGCAACTTTGGTGCCGAAGACCTCAAACTCGGAGCTCACCGCTCGCATGGCCCGGATGGTTCCGTCGAGATCGGGGAGCCGGATGAACGCCACGCACCTCCTCGACTCGAGGAACTTGGTGTTGCCATCACCGGGCGTGAGCAGAGTCCCATCCTCCAGGGCGATGTTGCTGAGATAGATCATGATCACGCTGGCCTGGAGCGTCCCCAGGAGCGCGCCGTGTTGCGAGAAGCGGTCGGTTTGGATCTGATTCTTGCTGTCGATGGTGAAGTTGACGGGGCATTCGTGCTCCTGGCCCGTGTAGGAGAGCGGGTTTGGAGTGAAGATCTTGCACTGGTGGATGGTTTTTATGCCCGAGATTGGCGTGCCATCCCTGTGAATGAAAAGTTGTGTCAAGAATGGCATGGGCATGGATTTATAACTCAGGCAAAACAGGCAAGAACCGCAAGAACCGCAACTTAAACATCTCATAGAATTCTATTGTCAAAAGATAATGGGAAAAACTAAAACTATGTGAATCTATCGAAGATCTTCGATCGTACCTGGCCAGCACCGTGAGAGGGTATGTCGTGTTCTCGGCCAGCTCCAGCGAGGGAGGAAAGTTGTAGTAGCCCTCAAAGTAGAAATCGCAAGCGTGAGATAGCAGGTAGTACTTCTCCATTTGCGCGCACGTAGCATCTGCTGGGGTGGCGATCAAACAAATCAACAGCAGTAGCAGTAGCAGCAGGAGCAGCAGCAGCAGTGGTTTGATCCCTCCTCCCATCGAAAGAGAGGAAAGGATCGAGGGAAAAAAAAAAGAAGGAAAAAAAAGCCTCCCAGTTTTTCCTCAATCTTGCTTCACGGCTTTCGGAGTCATGCATGAGGGAATGCTGGATTTCCTCATATCCTGTCGTGGACGCTCTTGGCATGAGCCGCATTTTGGGTGAGAAAGAGGTAGTACCAAACACAGATTTCTTCTTTCCAAAAGCTTCCTCACGATCATTTCCCTCTTATTATTAAACATTGTTTTTAATAAGGGTGTAAATAAATGACAAAAATAATCAGATAAATACATCCTAACAAACCTTTATTAATGAAGCATCTTCGTACCTTTATATGAATATCCTTGATCCAGAATATCCATGGAGTAATCCAGAAGGTCAACCTTGCAATTTGTCTGTTTGTTTGCATATAGGCGAATAGTTTGGGAGGAGAACGCGGAAGGAACTTTCTTTTGCTGGTGAGATCTCGCAGCATAGCCTTGATTTTTAATTCCAGAAAAACGTCTATATGGTGTAGGTCATGGAGAAACCCATTAAAGTTCTTGCGAACTTGATTCCTTGGACACAAGCGCAAACAAAACCACCGCACAACCTACTTGACCTCGCCAGATTGCACATTTGACTTCACACAGCATGCGTATGAAAGTTTTTCTTGGAGATCTCTCAAGTATCCGGATTCCCGGAAATAAAATCTCGGAATTTTGGTGGTTTGTACTATCCGTAGGGCCTAGGACAAGATTCTAGCCCAACGATGAATTTCTCATCCAAGCACAAGAAAAATTCAAACATCACACTTTCACCTTGAATAAAAAAATTTAGAGGACCCGGCATTGCCTCATGTAAGGAATCCAAAGCTTGGAAGTTACAAAGAAGCTCCAACATTGGAGAAGAAATTTTCTTTTGCTGGTGTACTTGCGGGTACCCTTCCCGTACATCGCGCCTCACGACAAGGGTTAGAGTCAAGGTCGGCCGTACACTCGCCGACTCAATGTCAACGCTCGCGAGGGGCTGCCACCTGGACGGCAGCGATGCCGCCACGTAGCGCGATTCGTTTTGCTCTTTAAAGAGGGAAGAGGAATCACAGGCAAGGAAGAAACGAGAGCTCGCCTCTTTCGGGAGCTCGCGAGCGAAGCATTGCCTCTCTTCCGAGGGTTCCAAGTTCCCCGAATGCCGGGAGCCACCGCCAGAGAATCGGCGTAGAGAGATCGATCCATCCGCACAGGCAAGCCGCGCAATTCTCTGTCAAATCTTGCAGTTGCGCCTCAAGATCGCGAGAACTCCACGATCGTCGCCAAGATCGTCGTCCATGGCATCCCCAGTGAATTCCTCCGGCGCCATCGAAATGCCGCAGCGATTCGTCGACATCGATCTCTCGCCGCCTCCTCCATCTCCATCGCAGCAGCAGCATCGCAATCCGGCTCCCAAGTTCCGGCTCCCAGTGGATTCCGAGCACAAGGCCAAGAAGCTCGATCTCTTCTCCTTCGCGCAGCCCCACATGAGAAGCTTCCACCTCTCGTGGATCGCCTTCTTCACTTGCTTCACCTCCACCTTCGCGGCGCCGCCGCTCATCCCGGTGATCCGCGACAACCTCGACCTCACCAAGCTCGACGTCGGCCGCGCCTCCATCGCCTCCATCTCCGGCTCCATCCTCTCGCGCTTCCTCATGGGCCCGGTGTGCGATCTCGTCGGCCCGCGCTACGGCTGCGCCATCCTCATCATGATCACCGCCCCGCCGGTCTTCTGCATGCCGCTCGTCTCCGATCCCACCGGATTCATCATCGTGAGGTTTTGCATCGGATTCTCGCTCGCCACCTTCGTCTCGTGCCAGTTCTGGATGAGCACCATGTTCAACACCAAGATCGTGGGCATGGCGAATGGATTCACCGGAGGCTGGGGGGATTTTGGGGGCGGAGTCACGCAGCTTCTCATGCCGCTGCTCTACCAGCTCATCCTCAAGTTTGGAGCCAACGATTTCACGGCCTGGAGGATCGCCTTCTATGTGCCGGGGCTGATGCATGTGTTCATGGGGCTGGCGGTGCTGATCCTGGGCCAGGATCTCCCGGATGGGAACTATCGCGATCTCAAGGAGCAGGGCCACAAAACCAAGGACAGCTTTGGCAAGGTACGTAAGCTAGTCTCTCTGGATCTCGACTCTTGCTTGCCGCTAACGCTGTTTTGGCTTTGAGATTTTGTAGAGCAGAGAAAAGCTCTGTCCATGGGCGTCACTGCTCTGCTCTGATCTAGGCAAAAAAATGTTGCTAGATAAGTTTTGTAGCGTAGAAAAATGCATTCGATCATGTAGAGATGCTTTCACGTTTTTTTTACTTTTGCTCTTGGGCATGTTGACTTTGCTCTTCCTTGTACTAAACTTTTTTACTTTTTCTACAGGTGCTTCGCAACGCAGCCAAGAACTATCGCACCTGGCTCTTTGCCTTCGTCTATGGCTACAGCTTTGGCGTGGAGCTCACTGTCTTTAACAACATCGCCGAGTACTTCTACGACGAGTTCGGCCTCCACCTCGGCACCGCCGGCATCGTCGCCTCCATCTTTGGCCTCGCCAACTTCATCTCCCGCCCCATGGGCGGCATCCTCTCGGACGTGATCGCGCGCTCCTACGGCATGCGCGGCCGCCTCTGGATCCTCTTCCTCTTCCAGACAGTCGGGGGACTCATGTGTGTGCTGCTGGGCTTCATGAACACCCTCGGGACTGCCATAGGCATCGTCATCCTCTTCTCCATCTTCCTCCAGGCGGCGTGCGGTGCGACGTTTGGGATCGTCCCGTTCGTGTCGAGACGATCGCTGGGAGTTCTCGCGGGGCTCACGGGGGGTGGCGGCAACCTGGGCGGAGTGGTGACGCAGCTCATCTTCTTCACCAACGAGACCTTCTCGTTCGAGGCCGGGTTTAGTCTCATGGGCGCCATGAGCGTGGGATGCTCGCTAGCGCTGCTGGGCGTCTACTTCCCGCAGTGGGGAGGGATGCTTTGCAGGGCGTCGAGCGATCCTGGAGCCACCGAAGAGGCGTACTATCTCGCCGAGTGGAGCGAGGAGGAGAAGGCCAAAGGGATGCACCTCACAGCACTCAAGTTTGCAGAGAACTCTCACTCGGAGAGAGGACGGATGCGATCAGGTGCGTCGTCACAACTTCAGCCCAGCGCGGTGGTCAACCCCATTCTATGATATATATTAGCTGTTGTTCTCTCCCTTGGGATGATGATGATGATGATGATGATGAATATGACTCCAATAGACTATAAACTTAGTCCTGCTTCATATTAAAAAATTCTGGACGCAGTGCAGACTACTTAAACCAACACCAAGTACCACTTGGACACGGAGGAGATCAATCCAGACGAATTGCATGGCGCAACAAACTACTAAGATACAGAGCAGGGAATACCAAAACACACCAACTGATAGCTGCCCCGAAATCATGCATGTCTTCATCGTATAAGAGCTTCTGGAGCGTCGGAGTGCAAGACTCTCCTGGAAACAATTGGGGGCAGCTAGCAGCTACGACGGCGGTATGGACATTATAAAGGTCATATTGCCCATAACAAGCAAAGATTTGTCGATCGTGAAGTTATTCTTTCTATAGAGCTACTTTCATGGCTTCCTTAGAGCAATCGATTCTTGATCATTTTTCTTTCATTCAGCTTCAAGGGGCTTTGTCACACCCAATTGAATTTGGACACAGCTACGCACAAACTTCTCCCAATGCGGAGCGGATCATCCGCGACATGATCAGTGATTATGCCAATCGCGATCCAACGGGACTGATACGCTTGCACTTTCACGACTCCTTCGTTAACGTCTCTCTCCGATTATCGTAGATAGCGTTCTTGGATTTGTGATAAACTCACAACGCCTTCTCGATGAACTCCAACAGATGGTACCAACGTTGAGAAGTTCTCCCTTCCAAACAACAATTTACCTCGGGATTCCACAGAGAAGATTGGAGAAAGCCTGCCCTGAAGTGGTGTCATGTGCCGATACAATTGTCATTGCTGCCACTTTGAAATTTTCAATACTTTGAAACTTTCAAATATTTAGGGCTAGGTTAGAAAAGTTAGCATCTCTTTGTGTCAATTTTGAAAACATGTGAACTTTTCCTCTCGAATGATCATATGATCTTTTAGATGGGAGGCCGGTGCAGTGGGATCGACTCAAATGGGGCAACAGTATAGAGGACACATCCAGAAATGACTTACTGTAAGCTTGAAAAAGTTCCAATTTTGCCATTTCCATTGTTATGTTCATAATATGTTTTGTGGTCTTTTGCCACCGCTCTACACCTGTACAGATTTTAAACACAAGATCTTCTAGAGGATAGGCTTTGCATTTCTATGGTGGCAATGGCAACAGCATCTTCAGCTGGTGGCAACGGCTCGTCCAGCACTGTTGTATGGAACCTGGAAGACGAAGAAGAAATTTGTGACTTGCTATTGATCAAGAGATCGCTCACAGAGCCATGACATTCAAAACTATTCTAGAATAGTCCAGAAGATTCTAAATCAACTTAAAATCATAATACAATTTTAGTTTTCAAGTAATCAAACTTACTGTGAATAGGAGTCGCTGTTTGCTACATTACAGACCTCTTGATCTCTCCATTTTCTCTCGTCCTCCACAATGTTTCCCATCTTGGACTGCCCGAAGTCCAGGGTGCCAGGATTGTCCACCTAAAAATTCACCAGTCTGAGTTGACTCTCAAAGAGGTCTTGGTCAGAGGTGAGAAGACCGTTCCTCTGCTCCAAGTACCAGTTATCGAAATTGAACTGGGAACCCCTGTCAAACTTGACTGTGTTCTTGGTGAAATCTCCTCCAAGAACTCGGGATTCACAATTCCATCTGGCTTGCTGAGGTGTGTGAGCTCCTGCCAAGAATTTGTGTAATCCATCCAACCTGATCACAAGCCTTGGTTCCTGAAGTTTTTAGTGAGACCAAAGTATGAACAATCACCCAATTTTGACGAAGTTTTAATACTTTCCTTTTTGACTCCTTTTTTATTTTTACATTTTTTTCCTTAATAGTCCAAATGTTTCCATAACCTTTGACTGTATAAGAATTGGAATTTCACTTTTACCACTCAGCTGCTCCGCCCAAGCAATTTTTTGCAAGGATTACTGGTGGAAAACTGGGACTAAAACTCATGCTACAGTTGACATTTACAACTGCATTGGACGGCACCACACTTGCCACCCTTCTCTGGACGCGCAGAGACCCCAAGAGCCCAAACGTGGCATTTTGTTGCCGAAACTCCGCCCTTATCTTTTGCTCCACTCCACTCCCGGTGAGATTGGTGGTAGAATCTATGACCGCAAGAAAGGGCGTACTTCCCATCCTTGCCGGCTGTGTGAACGCTCGCACCTGGACCCGGCCCAGGTTTCGATCCCCAAACCAAAGCCCAAGCGACGAGGGTTCGAATCTCATCTCTGCGTTGGCGTTTGGGTTCCTGGCGAGGAGCGTGAGGTTGAGTCGCGCGACGAGGATGGTGGTGGACTCGGCGAAGAGGAAGAGTGTGCCGTTAGAGACGCGATCGATCGAGACGGTGGGCGATTTTGGGTGGAATGCGAGCAGCAGGATGATCCCAAACATCCCAGCCATGACGACCGTGAGGGCCGCGGCCATTCCCAGGCACGCAAGGCATTCTTTCATGCCCCCGGTTTTGCCTCTGGTGATCGATTGAAAGGGGACGTGGTGACGATCGCCCTCTTCTTCGTCGATTTGGTGGAGGTAGCCCAGATCCTTGAAGGAACTCACCAAAGATTTCTTGCTTCTGTCCAAGAAACGATCGATCTTCTTGGCGATCTTCGGGCCGCCGCCGCCGTTGCTGCTGCCGGCGGAATCAGCGTCGGTGGAGAGCGAATTTTCATTGCGGTTGTGGAGGAGATCCATTCTATCTATTGCTCCCCGAGAATTTGCATATGCCACTGGATTCACCATCTGACCAAAAGAGATCGAATGAAACTATTGCTACGCGCTCTACCTTGTTTCTTTTAGATCGCGCGGCCAACCAAACTTCTTTGTTCCTTCCTCTTTGGCGTTGCAGTTCTTTTAAATTGTAAATAGCGCGAGAGAGAAAGGAATCGGCCGACACGCTCTCCATGTGGCGCTCGCCGCCCTAAAATTTTCGAGTTAAGCCGGCCATGGACTGTGGAAGAAAAGATTCACCTTTGTTCCTCTTTGTTTCTTTTCTTTTACTAGAAATCAAATTAGAAAACTAAACACATTATATTGAGATGATTTTCATATACGAGCTTGCTCTTGAGTGTTATAAACTGCAGCAAATCCATCATCATCTATACAAAAAGCACAAGGAAGCCACTTATTTGTCTAATAATTATTTATATGTGTTTCCATTTTCATCATATATCACTAGGTTACAATCTTTCTGCATTTGAAGATAGAAACCATCACCTTTGTTTTCAGTTTTGGTGCCCCTGGTAAATGATCATGTATACAGTATAAAACCTATTTAAAGATTGGAGAAAATTCTCATTTGGATATTGGTAGCATACATAATACTACATCATAATTTTATAAACAAAAGAGAGGAGTTAAATTTTATATTAAATCTCATTAGAAATCAAAATAAAAAAACTATACAAAATATTTATCAAGAGCTTTGCACACAACATCAATAGTTGGAAGATTGTTTGTATTTTGGAGTCATGTATGGTATAAGTATCTACACTCATCTTCCTTCCATCTTCAATTGAACAAATAAATTCTCAAATTACTCTATCATATGTGTGTGTGAACTTTCCAAATTGGGGTATCACTAATTGTGGTGTAGCAATATGGAAGTAATGAAGAAATATGTATTTCACAATGACATGAATTTTGGTTTTGCTATCGGGAGGTATATGATTTCATATATTAATGTTGATCCTCCTTGGATGGATATAATCCAAAGAATAGTTTCATCTCTTTTAGCTAGATAGTGAATCTAGTGGAAAATACAAATTCTCAAGGTCTAGCAAGATAGAATGGATCTTGCTATGAAATTTACTCTTCATCAACACTAATTTTGCTAATAGAAGCAGCGCTCGAAGATTGCCAAGATTTTTAATGAGTTATATAACTTATATAGAGTATAGGCTACTATTCTTCACATGGGGTGATTCCAATGTGTGTGGGTTCCAACCTTATAGCCATCAAATTAAATAATATCATCTTTGTTTGTCACTTCTTAATTTCTACATTTTGAACTGATAAAACTAAGGAAAGACAACCATGTAGATCATTTTAAGCTGTGAGTTTGTGCCACAACATACAAACAAAGAGATTGCCATAGACACAAAGAGAAGTTAAATTTTGTAAATTTTCTCTTCCCAAGAGGGTGCTGTGGCAGCTATGTCCCTCAAGAGCAATGACTCTATTACAAATACCTGTGCATTCTTCCCAACTATACAAACCTGTGAATTCAACATCTTAGAGAGTTTTTCTTGTGTCCTTAAATTAAGTTTGCAATGTCAATACCAACAGTAGACAGGATTGCAACAAGTCATTTCCTGAATGCATCCTCTTAGACTACTATATAAAATCTGCATAATAATAAATTCTATTCAGCTTATAACATCCTTAATAAATTTTAATTTATTCCATTATAACTTTTTGCCTTCAGTATAGTATGCTTGGAAAAACTTGAATATTTTGGACCTCCTTGAATACTTATACAACAGCCTCAACTGTTTTAATTTGACTAGAGAATTTGGGGAAATTATAATAGTTTCAACTTCTATGTTATAGTCTCATCTGCTCCATATGGAGCTTGCCACCCTAGATTTCCAACCATGGATTTTAATTGTTCAAGAAAAGAACACCTCTAGCATTTTTTTGACTAGTAACACTATTCCTAAGCTTTATAGTAAGATTTCTAGAGGAATTTTTTATTATAAATATAATTAAGAAAAATAAGCATATAAACTATTAAGATTAATTATTTGATCTCCATATATTAATTTGCTCTTGAGTGTTATAAACTGCAACAAATCCATCATCCTCTATACAAAATGCACAAGGAAGCCACTTATTTGTCCAATAAATATTATATGTCCACACAACATTTCCATGTTCATCATATATCACTAAGTTGCAATCTTTTTGCATCTGAAGATAGCAACCATTACCTTTGTTTTGAGTTTTCGTGCCCCATAATTCTTCTGGACCATGGTAAATGACTAATCTGCAGTCATGTTGCATGTGCACAGTGTAAAATGTATTTAAGGATTGGAGATAATTCCCAGCAGTAAGCTTAGAAAAACTTGTATATATTGGACCGCTTTGAATACATGTTTTATACAAGTCACAATTATGTTCCACAACCTCAACTATTTTAGTTTGACTAGAGAAATTTGATAAGCTTTTAATATTTTCATGACTTGGATCATCAATAACATATGAAATCATGTATCTCCCCGCTGTATATTTAGCAGAACCATAAGTTACTTGATCAGTTACTACATATTTCTTCACTATTGTCATCATTTCAGATGCTAGTGCTGCACCAGTAGTAGTAAACCCCCAATTTGGAAAGATATTACACATATCAAAAGAATACCATTTTCTTTGAGAATTTAACCATCCAATATCTACACTCATGATCCTTCCATCTTCAAGTTTTAATAGAGTGCCATATGAAAATCCTCTATAATAATCAAATTCTACCTGGCTAACGTCCCTAAGAAGTTTAAAAACTTCTTCCATTATAACAGTTTGCCTCAAAACCAAACTAATTGCATTTGGATATTGGTAACGCCTTCTAATGCTAAAGCACAAATTTATAAATAGGAATGCGAAGATAAATACTTTTGTCTGCATGTCTAGGCTTTCTCTAATTGTTTCAGCAGTTTATATGGAACAGATAGTACATAAACAATTTAGAAATCAAAACAATCATTTAAGAATCGAATATCCATCTAATATCCAAAAAAGAAATTGACGCTCTAAGAAATAAATTCGTAAAAACAAAATGAAAGTCATACAATATTATTAATAAAATGACAAGCGTTCATTCACTTGCTTGAGTATCAACGATTCTACACAACACGTCAATAGTTGGGGGATTGTGTGTACCCTGGAGGCAATGGCATAAACTCGAATGGGCCAACGGTGTAAAGGATGCGATCTGAAAATGACTTGCTGCGAGCTAGAAAAGCTCCCGTTTTGCCATTTCCAGTGTTGGTTTTGACACTGCAAGTTTGATCCGGGGAGGAGACAAGGAAAACTCTCCAGGATTTTGGATTCACGGGCTTCTTGGGCCTGTCATAGTTGAGAGGAATGTAGAAGTAGCCATAAGAATTTGTCTTGGCTCCGACGTAGCGATTGCTCTCCGATGACACGGCTCCCACGGCAGCCCCTGGAAGAGGAAGATCGAAGTCTATCATGACAACACACTTTAAACAAACCTTCTAGAGGTTTTCTCTGGCTCCCATGGCAGTAGACGAAGCCTTCTATTGCTACCTGTTTGTATGCTGCGGGCTTCTCATATTGAGAAGAACTGTGGCTATACTTTTGGAGAGGAATTCCAAGCTTGTACTCTGCTTGTGCCAAAGAGGACAAGGCTACTAGCACCAGCAAGAAAAGTGGTGTTGCATTTGATCTCTCCATGGCTTAAAATGTGGTTCTCATACATGACGCTTTTAAAGGTCTTGAAGGACATGGTCACGATCTTACAAAGACAATGAACGTCCCCATGATCTACACGTTCAGTTATAAATAAATGGGAAAGTTCAGTTTGCTGGCTGTGGGGTTCGAATTGGAATGCAGGTATCCCCCCTTAGACCACTCAAGATAGCTGTTTTCTAACAAACGGAAAGACCATCAACAGGGACGTCATCGAGTGTAAGAAAAAAGGGGGCTCTTTATTTGACTTTTCCCATTCTCTTTCTCAAGACCCCTAATTTACAAGATCACACTTCCTACTCTACTTGGATGGTTCTCGGCTGTGGCTTGGGGATTTTTGGAACTGTGACGGTAAGGACGCCGTTCTCCACTTGGGCTTTGATCGCATTCACGTTGGCGCTCTCGGGCAGTCGGAATTTCCTCAGGAAGCTCCCATAGCTGCGCTCCACGCGGTGCCACTTATCGCTCTTCTGTGCCTCGTGCTTCTTCCTCTCGCCACTGATCTGGAGAGTGCGGCCATCCTCCATGCTGATCTTCACCTCCTCCTTGCTCAGCCCCGGGAGATCGGCCTTGAAGACGTGCGCTTCGGGCGTCTCGAGCCAATCCACGCGAGTGTTGGCGACGGCGCTCGCATCCCTGGCCATCTGCTTCGACGGCTCGTGGCCACCAGCCAAGATCGACGAGAGCTCCTCGAAGGGATCGAAGATGCTGCTGCCATTGCCACCATAGAAATGCAAAGCCATGTCTGGAACTTAGAAGACGAAGAAGAAATTTGTGACTTTCTATTGATCGATGCTCGGGCCAAGAGACTGCTCCACATTTATACAGAGCCATGGACAACTCTAGAGTGTTCCAATACATCCTAGAATATTCTAGAAAAGTGATATTCCAGAAGATTCTATATCAATTTAAAATGACATACAACAACTGATTTTCAACTGATCAAACTTACTGTGAATACGAGTCGCTGTTTACTACATTACACACCCTCCTGATCTTCTCTCGTCTTCCACCCAATGTTTCTTATCTTGATCATGGACTGCCCGAAGTCCCGGGCAAACTTATCGGGATTGTTCCCGTTCCACTTGTGAATTGACTCTGAAAGAGGTCCTGGTCAGAGGTGAGAAGATCATTCCTCTTCTCCAAGTTCTTGAAGTACCAGTTGTCGAAATTAAACTGGGAGCCCGTGTCAAACTCGACTGTGCTCGCGGTGAAATCTCCTCCAAGAGGGCATTTTTTCCGGAGATATGGCAAATACTCGGGATTCACAGTTTCATCTTGCTTGCTGGTGTTTTTGAAGTTGTATATGCGATCAAATCGGCCGTTGGCGAAAGTAAAACACTTGGAGGCCCCAACTGTGTGAGCTCCTGCCAAGAATTTGTGTAAGAATTTGTTAAGATAGTTTAATTTATCCAACCTGATAGAACAACGAGATCTTGAATGGACAAGCTTTCAATTATTGAAGTTTTCAACGAGAGCTGCAGCATCGAACGAGGGACCTGGCAGTGTTGTGCTTGCCAGATCGAAGCTTGACACTCTTCCATCGTAGCGCCCAGTGACTACTTCATAGTGCCGGCCTTCCATCTAAAATATCATATGATCATTCGAGAGGAAAAATTCAGTGCTTTCAATCACTTGACACAAAAACGATCAAAGTTTGACTGTCGAATCCCTGGCGGCGATGGCAATTGCACACGACACCACTCCAGGACAGGCTTTCTCCAATCTTCTCTTTGCATCGTCAATAACTTCGAATCCCCGCGCTGAATTGTTGTTTGGAGGCCATCTGTTGGAGTTGAGTCGAGAAGGATAGAGGCGTCGCACAAATCCAAGAACATTATATAACTTATCTATACCGGAGTGTACGTTAACGAAGCAGTCGTGAAAGTGCAAGCGTATCAGTCCTGCCGGGACTGTTGGATCGCGATTGGCCTAATCGCAGATCGTGTCGTGGATGATCCGCTCAGCATCGGGACAAGTTTGTACGTAGCTGTGTCCAAATCCAATCGAGTCCGACAAAAGTCCCTTGAAGCTGAATGAAAGCAAAACCATGCAAAGCATCAAGATTCGATCGCTCGAAAGTATGGAAGCCATGGTTTTTTAAGTAGCTCTATAGAAGGAATAGCTTGAAAAGCTATGACTCTTTGCTTGTTTTGGGTAATGTGTTCTTCGGCTGACTTTTATATATGAATTTCGGTTTGAACAAACGCGTCTTGGATTGTGTCCCGTGACCCTTCAATCTCTATCTGGCACAAATACTGCCAAGTTTTGAGTGTTGTCCTCAGGTTTTGAGAAACGCTCCAGAGATGGTAGACAATTTCTCTAATTTATATACGAAAGCTCCCAAGAGACTACTAAATCATTTTCTTTCCAAACCGCAATTACTGTTTTCTTACAAAATAGATCCTACCTGAGAAAGTCTAAATACCATCAAAGTGCTTTAAAAGGTGGTGGCAGCAAGACAAATGGCGCTGTTGAGTCTGAATCCAATGCCAGAGCTTGCACCACCACTTGAACACCATTTTTTTCTCGCAAACTCTTCTGATTCCCGAGCAAGCTTATCCAGTCTACTTCGTCTGGAACAAATGGAGCACTCGATACGAGATCTCGAGCATCCCTGATTCTCCCAGCTCGGCAGAACAATCCTACCATGCATCCATACTGCTGCTTGCTCGGGATCATCTCGAAATCCAGACAGAGCGATTGAAAAGTCGAGCATCTGACAGGAACATCACCAACATGGCTCGATCCCGCTAGAACACTTGTGAAAGTTACATCGTCGGGCTTAACACCGTCAACTTGCATGGATTTGAATAAGTCTAGGTTCTTAGAATTTTTTCCGTTGGGAGAATACATTGCAAGAGAGCTGTCCATGAAACTGGGCCTCGTTCCGGCATCCTGTCAAAGAGGAGTATAGCTTTGGAAAGATTCCCTCTCTGAGAGTAATCCGAAAGCATCGAATTCCATGAGACAAAGTTCTTCTCTTGGATTGATTTATAAACCCACTCCACCTCTCTGTAAGATGCCCAACTTGGGAATATATCGAGAGCATCCATTGCATGACACGAGGCTCTTTTCCTCCATCTTGTCAAAGAGAATGTTGTCGTTTCTTCCAGATGGGCATATGCCACAAGAAGAGTCACGAGATTGTAATATGGCATGGCCTCCAAAGTATCCTTTGCTAGCCATTCTGGGAATATCCAGTCAGCATTGTAGATATCCCATTGCCTCTTTGGGTATATACAGCTAGCATGGCATTCCACGTCACCAGGTTTCGCTCTGGCATCCAGTCAAATAACACCTTAGCATCTTCCAGTTTTCCGTTCTGGGAATATGCCATTAGTAGCAACGTCCAATATGTGACGTTGTGCTCTTTCATTCCACTGTATATTTCTATTGCACGGACAACACCACGAAACTCTCTAGTATTGTTGTGTACGAAACTAGATCCGCATGAGGGATCGTATTAGCTTCTTCCAGATACCCACTCTGGGTATATGCCGCAAGCATCCATACGATTAGATCCTTTTGGGGCATAGAATCAATGCTTGAAGAAAATTCCCACTTGGAAATAATGCTGATCCAAGAGACTATGTTGTAGCGGTCCCCCGTGCACTCACATCCAGCGCCCACACTTCTCTCCTTCCATCCTCCCTCTCGGACCAAGAACCCTCGCTCGCCCACTTGCCACGTCAGCACTCGGTTAGGGCTCGACCAAACTAGACACTGTTATCACCAGCGTCACCTTAGCCCGTTACAACGTTCCTGGCCGGCATATTCTCAAAAATAGGAGATGCCGGGTCAAGGTATATGCAGTCAGCATGGCATTCCAGGTCACCAGGTTCTTCTGTGTCATCAACTTAGCTTCTTCTAAATTTCCATTAAAGTTATAAACAGACAGCATGAACTTAGATCCTTGTCCACCATCTGGTGAAACTCAGCATCTTCCAGATGCCATGTCTGGGCAAATACAGTTGGTTGTCCACGTCAGCAAGTCTCTCGCTGGCATGGAATCAAACAGCCGTTGAGCCTCGAGATATGCCCGGCCCGGGAATATGCCACCATCATCAGGAAGAGATTCTTAGTATATTCGAGGTCCCTATACGAGGAAACAGAGATTTGGCTTAAGTGCGCGAGAATGCGGTGATCATGGAATTCCACGAGACGAGATCCTTCAAGGGCATAGAATCGAAGAGATCTGGATCAATCCGTTGCTGGCGAAAGCGCCCAGCAAGATTCCACGAGAAGACGTGCTTGGGCTCGATCGAATTGAAGACGGCCAGCGCGTCCTAGGCGCTGCCACACGAGGAGATTCGACGTTGGGGATCCATCAAAAACCCTAAAAACAGAGCATCCAATCTTAAAAATGTTTTCCCGCTTTTATTCCTCTATGCAAGATCAAAGAATTGGGGCGTCAAGCGTGGTAGGGCGATTTGTAAGCTGGTATCGCTGGAGCGAACGCGAAGGGACCGACCTCATAGACGAGAGTCTCACCGATGATTTTGCTCTTGCTCTTGTCGATCTTGGCGCCGGATTTGCCATTGTTTACATTGGTGGCAATGTAGCAGTTCTTGCTCGAGGAGGAAGCCAATTTCACTGTGATGGTTTCCACTTCCACTTCCTTGTACGCGCCATAGCCCAGTGGGAAGTAGAAGTATCCATACGCGTTGGTTTTCTCTTGCAGGGGGGCGTCGCTCTTGGCACAGCTCAGGCTCACAACAGCACCTGGAAAACACTCCCGACATCAAAACAAGACGAAAACTTCGAGAGATCTAGAGATATAAGGTGAAAGATTATACCTTCGAGTGGCTTCTTGGAGTAGCCATCTTGGCAATTGACGTAGCCTTCAATTGCGACGCGCTTGTAAGCTGGTTTTGGAGTGTAGAATGGCTTCTTCTCCTCTTCCTCGACCTTCTTGTACTTCTTATCGTCGTCAACTTTCTTGTATGAGGGTTTCTCCACGGGCTTGTAAGCCGGCTTCTCCTCCTTGTATTTCTTCTCCTCCTCGGGCTTGTAGCTCTTGTCATCTTTGAACTTTTTCTCCTCTTCGGGCTTGTAGCTCTTCTCCTCCTTGTACTTCTTCTCTTCTTCGGGCTTGTAGCTCTTCTTCTCGTCCTTGTACTTCTTCTCCTCCTCGGGCTTGTAGCTCTCCTTCTCCTCCTTGTACTTCTTCTCTTCTTCAGGCTTGTAGCTCTTCTTCTCGTCCTTGTACTTCTTCTCCTCCTCGGGCTTGTAGCTCTCCTTCTCCTCTTCGGGCTTGTAGCTCTTTTTCTCGTCCTTGTACTTCTTCTCCTCCTCGGGCTTGTAACTCTTCTTCTCCTCCTCGGACTTGTAGCTCTTCTTCTCGTCCTTGTACTTCTCCTCCTCCTCGGGCTTGTAGCCCTTCTTCTCTTCCTCGGCCTTGTACTTCTTCTCCTCTTCCGGCTTGTAGCTCTTCTTCTCGTCCTCCTTGGGCTTGTACTTCTCCTCCTCCTCGGCTTTGTACTCCTTGGGCTTGTAGTTGTCCTCGGGCTTGTATTTCTTCTCCTCTTGTGGCTTGTAGGCTGGCTTGGACTTCTCCTCATCGGCCTTGTAGGATGGCTTCTTGTAGTCGTATGATCCATCGGCTTGGGCTCCTGCGAGCATGCACAAGAGCATGGCTGCGGCTAGCAAGCCGCAAAGGAAGATGCGAGCCATGGCAGCTACTACTATGATTCTAAACTTTTCTCTGAATGATGATTTCTAGTCTAGAGGAGACAGTTGATTGATGCTTGCAATTCGCAACGAGAATGCGGCTTCTTATACGATCTATCCTCGACGACTTTACAACCTGGATTGATCTTTGTGCTTGGACATGACATGATGAACAACGTGAGAGAACGTAAGCACTAAGCATGACATTTCTGACCTGGTTTATAGTAAGAGTTGGTTTAATTTAGTTGCTTGGCCATGGACAACAAATGTTCTGACATTATTTATTATTCTAGTATATTTTAGCATATGCTTTCATTTTAATTATTTAGATTTCAGCAGTAATTTCAACAGTAAGAGTTGGTTTAATTTAGTTGCTTCTTAGTTGGCCATGGACAGCAAATGTTCTGACATTATTTATTATTCCAGTATATTTTAGCATATGCTTTCATTTCCGTTTTTAAGACAGGAACCTGGGATTTATTTTGAAATGGAATGTAATTTATGCCAAAAATAATTCATTGAATGGGCGAAACATTTTGCCACGTAACAGTGCACAGAAGAGAGTTTTAAATAATCTCGAAAGACTTTTTTATTAAGAAATTTGAGAAAAAAAATTTCTAACAATCGATCGAAGTTAATAATGGTAGTACTCCACAGGAGCAAACGCGAAGGGCCCGACACCATAGATGAGAGTTTCGCCAACAGTCTTGCTTTTGCTCTTGTCAACCACGGCCCCAGATTTGCCATTGTTGAGATTGGTGATGACGCTGCAGCTCTTGCTCGGGGACGAAACCAAGCTCACCTTGAGCGTTGTCACGTCAATGTCCTTGTAAGCGCCATAGCTGAGAGGAAAGTAAAAGTAGCCATACGCGTTGGTCTTTTGCTCCTTATAAGCTTTGCTCTTGGTGCATGTCAAACCGACAACAGCCCCTGGAATCAAACATTTCACTCACATTATAACCAGAAAAAGGAAAAAGGATGTGAAGAGAATTAAAAACGCATACCTTCGAGTGGCTTCTTAGAGTAACCATCTTGGCAGTAAACAAAACCTTCGATAGCAACCTTTTGGTACGCTGGCGATGGCTTGTAAACTGGCTTCTCCGCGGGCTTGTAAACTGGCTTCTCAGCTGGCTTCTCCACGGGCTTCTCCGCGGGCTTGTAAACTGGCTTCTCAGCTGGCTTCTCCGCGGGCTTCTCCACTGGCTTGTAAACCGGCTTCTCAGCTGGCTTGTAAACTGGTTTCTCAGCGGGCTTCTCCACTGGCTTGTAAACCGGCTTCTCAGCTGGCTTGTAAACTGGCTTCTCAGCGGGCTTCTCTGCAGGCTTGTAAACCGGCTTCTCAGCTGGCTTGTAGTCTGGCTTCTCAGCTGGCTTGTAGACTGGCTTGTAAACAGGCTTGTATTTCTTCTCGTCGTCGGCCTTGTACTTCTTTTTCTCCTCAGCCTTGTAACCTGGTCTGTACCTCTTCTCGTCGTCAGCCTTGTAGTATGGCTTGCCCTTGTAGTATGGTTTAGCCTTGTAGTAGCGCGGCTTGTATTTCTTCTCCTCCTCATCGTCGTCATCAGCCTTGTAGTAGTGTGGCTTCTCGTCCTCGTCCTCATCATCGTCATCGTCAGCCTTGTACCTGTATGGCTTGTACTTCTTGTGCCCGTAACCGGCCTTGAAGTGTGCCTTGAACTTGTAGTACTCCTCGTCCTCATCATCTTCATTGTCGTCGTTGTCATCGGCCTCGTAGCGTGGCTTGTATTTGTAGTTCTCCTTGTCATCGTTGTCGTCTTCATCATACTTCTTCTCATCCTCGTCCTTGTAGACTGGCTTGTACTTCTCATCCTCGGCCCTGTAGACTGGCTTGTACTTCTTCTCCTCCTCTGGCTTGTACTGCTTCTCCTCTGGCTTGTACACTGGCTTCTTCACTTCCTCGTCCTTCTCCGGCTCCTCCTTGTACGCAACCTTCTTATCATCGGGCTTGTAGTCGTATCCGTCGGCTTGAGCTTCTGCTAGAAAGCACAGAAACAAAGTTGCCGCGAGCAATCCAAACACAACCAAGCGAGCCATAGCTAGGAGAGAGGAAGCAATCCAAAACTTGGATATGCAACTTCATGCAAGACTGCTCCTTTTATACGGTTCTGCCGAACATGTCCTGTAAGTCATACGGCATGATCGTGCCATGATCACAGAATGTACATCACGTCAACACGAACAGACATATAAAAAGAACAGCACACACACACACAAACAAGGAATAAATAAAAAGTAAAAAGAAGAAAAAGAATGGGATCAGTCAGGATAGGCGTCACAGGATACAGCAATCCATCAAAGTGCAAGGGAAGCCAAAAGTCGAGTAGAATGTGGAAGGCAAAGTCTAAGCCGTCTGGTTAATCTTTACCAGTAGCCTGCGCCTTTTTCTCAACCTTCTGCAATTAAACAAGATAAAACTGTGGAGGACTTGCAATAGTGAAATACTAAACTCGAGCATTTCCAAAAGCTGTCCTCCATCCAACTTGGCCACTTCCTAGACACTCTAGGATAAACCTGTCCTCAGACCTTTTACTACAACATCACGTCCCGAGCAAGAAAAACTCAAGAATGACAGCTTTGCAATCCTTGAACACGTACCATAAGTTTGCAAGCCCAGTAATGCCAAGTTCTCGAGCACTGCAAACAGCCACACCATTTGTCAGTAGAGAACAACCGATCTTACAAAACTAAAAAGAGTTTTCCTTTTCTTACCGGTGACCTATGCTCTTCGTCTGCGACTCAGGGACATCGCACGAATCCCATCCGGGTCCACGACGAATCCCAGCGGCTTGTAGAATCCCAAAACGTTGGGCTCGGCATAGAGAACGATGTTGGTGATTCCCTTCCTTGTCAAGTCGGCCATGAGCCTCTCCATCACTGCTTTTCCCAGACCAATCCCTTGGAACGCTGGATCCACCACCACGTCCCAGATGATCGCGTTAAAGACGTCGTCGCCCGTGGCCCTGGCGAAAGCTATGACGCTGCCAGCCTTTGTGACCCACAGCATGGTCCCTGTGTGTTCCAAAGCACGTAAAAGCTTCTCGTTTTGGCGACGAGGGAAGCCCACCTTGACGAAGAGCGCGTTGAGATCGTCGAGGTTGATGTTGTCGAGCGACCTGTGGAGCTGGAATCCCCGCGAGGAGAGATCGTCGTCGCTCATGGAGAACTTCCCCGTCTCGGTGATGCCCAGGGCCTCGAGCTGCGCCGCCTGAGCGAAGCAGCAGGGAGATTTTCGGGGATTCTTGGAGCCGGCGAAGCTCCGGGGCCTGGATTGAGCGGTGGAGCAAGGGAAGAAGATGTGATCCTGCACAGTCGAGCGGTCAGTGAGAAATGCGAGGGAGCTCGAGGCGAGAAATTGTGAGGCTCGCGTGAAATATCTCAAAATCTAGGAGGAATCGAGCAGCAAAACAAGAATGCGCGGTCGATGGAGTAAGAGTTTCCGACTGACCTGCGATGGAACTCCATGGCGGCCCCCCAATGCGCCTCCCAGGGCGACGAACGACGAAACCCTATGGCACGCCATGCTAAAACCCTAATAGGAGCGTTTTAAAATGTTTGACCCCTTTCAAAGGGTAAAAACCAACAAGCCCTAGAAATCTTTTCTAGGGTTTATCGCCAGGGCAATGCTTTGAGGATCTTGAGCTATGGGGTTGAAGATGAAGAATATCAACGCATTCGCGCACGCGGATGAGCATCTCACGCAGAAGACGGTCTCTGGAGCCATTTGTAAGTCCCGATCTGGCGAATTTTCGAAGTTCTTGTGTCTCTTCCCTCGATCGGAGCTAAGCTTCTCTTTTCGAATTCTCCGTTCAGTGACGATTGTGGGAGTGAGCATCATTCTCGTTTTGTTTGCGTACGAGTTTAAGTTCTATCTCTCGACGAATGTCGTGCACCAGGTTTGGGTCTTTCTTCTGGTTTTGCTTGGAGGATTGATCATTCTTTTTGGAAACCAGATGTCGGTAGACACGACGCGCGGGCAAAATCTTCCAATTCACATTAACATTACGTTCCCCTCACTGCCTTGCCAGAGTAATAAAATCTCTTCTTTGATGAGTTTACGATCTAACTTCACATTTCCTTGTTCTAAGTTCTGAGCGTGGATGCTATCGACATGTCTGGCAAACACGAAGTTGATCTAGACACGAACATTTGGAAGGTAACCGTGAATTCTATAGTTCTTCTCTCGCGTCTTATACTTTGTTTTCGATTTTCTCTAGCTTCGTCTCCACAAAGACGGTCACATTTTGGGATCGGAGTATCTATCAGACCTTGTTGAGAAGGAACATGCCCATGGTTTGTTTCTCGCGCTCATAGATTTATCATTCTTCTCTGCCGGTTTTTGTTTCAGATAACCTCACAGGCATTTTCCATTCGCATGAGGAACTACGGAGCGCCGTAAAGGTTGTGAACGAAATCAACAAGGCACTTCAAGATGGGGAAGGCTGCCGGGTAAATACAAATCTTACACTCGTTTTTTCCAAGTCTATTCCTTTTATCCTTTGTGTTCTTGCTCAGGTTTTTGGTGTTCTAGACGTGGAAAGAGTTGCGGGAAACTTCCATATCTCCATGCACGGGATGAGCCTCCAGGTTGCGCGCCAGGCAAGTTTCGATCGATTCTTTCGTTCAAATGGAAATATATCGAATCAAAAGCTCTACGGGCACTGTTCTTACAGATCTTCCACAGCGTCAAGGAAGTTAACGTGAGCCATATAATCAACGATCTCTCGTTCGGACCAAAGTATCCCGGGATTCACAACCCGCTGGATAGAACTGTGCGGATTTTACGTGACACCGCGGGCACATTCAAGTATTTCATCAAGGTAGTCTTTTCAATTCTCGTGCACGCGACAAATCTTTGCTTCTGTTCTTTGAAAAGATCGTGCCAACAGAGTATAGATACTTGAATGGTGGAAAGCTTCCTACAAATCAGTTCTCAGTGGGAGAGTATTATTTAGCTGCTCGAGACGACGACATAAGCTGGCCAGGTTGGGTTGTTTTTCTTCTTCCTCGTTCGCGTTTGATGTGATTTTTTGATGGAGCAGCGGTCTACTTCTTGTACGATTTATCGCCCATCACGGTGTTAATCAAAGAGGAAAGGAGAAGCTTTGGACATTTGCTTACGCGATTCTGTGCTATTGTTGGCGGGACCTTTTCTTTGACAGGTATCGTATCTTATGATATTTCTTTTGCGTCACTTTATGCTTTTGCGGTGATAGGGATGCTTGACCGCTGGATATATCGACTCGTAGAAAGCATCACGAGAGCTAAGGGTGTCTTGATCTGATAACACACAGTGTAGTTATCTAAGAACACATTTACTTACTGACAGTCACAGATCTCGCAAAGAAGAGCTTGTCCTTGGATCTGTTAATCGAGGTAATCGAAGTCGTCATTTATTCCCACCTGTGGAGAGGCAAAAGTTAAAAAGTTGTCACGAGATATCTTGCCTACTTCTTTATAGACTGATTGCAGCCGCTCTTTTGCCTCGGGGAAATTGTTGCTGCACCAATTCTGGAGAGAGAAGACGTTGTCTGGATGGAAAAGAACAACGAACGAGGTTCAGTGCTACTTTAGTTTTTTCTTTTTTTTCAAGTACTCACCTGTCCAGCGATTCACCGCTTGATGAGCAATCTCTGTGGCGTTTTCTGGAAAATAAACTATGAGCTTTGAAATGGTTTCATGGATGAGAGCGACTCACTCATGTTCTCGCAGAGAGCTGGATCATTGTCCGCATATTGCTCGAGCTCATCCTGGAAAGCAAAGATCTTAAGATGTCAAGAGGTTATTGTTGGTTAGTTCACCTTCAAAGCTTTGTGTTCTTGTTCCATTTCGTTCAGCTCAGCTATTGCCGCCTCCCTCTCATCCTATAATGCAGCGTTAAAAGAAGAATTAAACTCAAGTGACGAGATAGTGAACTTACCGAGTTTTCTCTTCCTATCTTGGACGATTCCTTCATCTTTTCCAGCTCCAGCCGATGGGACTTCGTTGCAGACAAGTCAGCTTCGAGCTTTGCTCGAACTTGGCGGAGCTGGAGTAAAGAAAAAAAGAAAAAAACCTTATAAAAAACAAAGAAAAATTCCAGTCGTGCCTGATTACCTGATGTCCTGCGCGACTAGGAAGGCTCCAGAAATACACCTGAGAAAAAAATTACCTGGCATTCGAAAACAATGGCCTAAGGACTTACTGAGGTGCCTATCTTATCTTTGAAGACAAGATCATCATCCACCAGGCTTTGCAGCACGTCCTTGACAGCCTGGCTGATCACACCCTTTCGTGGGCCGAGCTTCTCGAGCTCACGAAGCTGAGCAGCGTTAGAAAAATTTATCCATATCCATCCAATGCTATCAATCGAGGACCTTACCAGATAGAAATCCTGGCTTTCGTAAAAGATCTGTAAGAGCTGCTCCCTTTTGTCCTCCAAGGAAAGCCCTCGCTTCTTCGACTGCCAAAATCCCCAAAAGATCGATGAGAAATGATCGAGAAATCTCGAAAAGAATGCTAATGCTTGAGAGAAATCACGAGACAAGCTCGGCGATCAAAGACAAGCTGGGCGATCGAAGAAGAACGAGGTGAGAATGCGCTTACCATGGGCGGCGACGCGGATAAACCCTAATCTCTGCTCCGAGAGCTTTCCCGCCCAATTTTGAATTAACCTAAGGCTAGTTCCTTGATCTAAATATTTCGTTCTTCGAGCGCTAACCGAGATTCCTTGGTGGAGCTTCACAAGGATCGGACACGTCGCCGTGGCGCAGGGATCCAAATTGTCTCCTTACAGTGAATCTCACAAATCCGAGGTTAGGGCTCAGGTTTTCCCATGGCTCTAGCGCTGTTCGATGCTCCGAGCAGCGTCTTCTCGCGAGCTGTAGCGAATCGCGCTGGAAATCCGGTCGCGGCAGGCGATTCTTTGAGAATCCACGGCAAGAATGCGCGAAATTTCGGCGCCGCGATCGTTCTCTCACGAGAGAGGCCGGGGAGATGCGTGTGCTCGGCAGTGGATGACGAGTGCAGCTCCCAGGCCTATGGATCGACCATGACCAGCATTGATGCCCAGGCGCAAGTGTCCGCTTGCGCGTCGGCGACTAGTCACAGGTGTAGCATCCTCCAGGACCTGGAATCTCATGTGGATGAGACGTTTACGTTCGTTTTCAAGCCCGAGAGCGCCGTGACCGTGACCGTCTCGCTGAAGGATGCGCTCAGTGAGACGTTCTACGAGGTTCTTCTCAGCGCGCCTCTTGGAGGATTGGTAAGATCTTCTTCTGGTTTTGAGCTCTCGGTTCTAACTCTTTTTCTCTTTTCGTCTAGACTCTTCACTGGGCTGTGAATAATTGGTCTCTTCCTAGTGCTTCGTGGTGGCCCAGTGGGACTGTTCAAGTCACTGACAGAGCCATCGAGACTCCGTTCACTCGATCTGAGTCTGGAAGCTGGGAGGTGAGACAAAGTTTTGCTGCCAAGCTTTAAACTTCGTTCCTGATCGTCGCAGATTTCCATGAAAATTCCCGAGCTGGAAGTTCCTCGGTGCCTCGTTTTTGTGCTAAAGGTGAGTCGTCTTGCCATGAAACACCATTCTTATGGCCTTTTCTTGCAGGATACTGATGGAGCTTGGTACAACAACAACGGTTGTTTTCAAGTTCCCTTGAAATGCTTTGAACTCAACGATCTTATGGAGCAGGCATGAAGTTTGGCTTTGTCTGGTAACTCGTTCTTATAAAAGCTTTACAGGTGATCTTATCAGAAACCACTTTTGATAACTGGTCCCTGTTTAATCGGTTTATCCTAGCTTCGGAGCTTGTGGATGCGGCGGAGGAAATTGGTGCTAATGGCATGGCATTCATGTATACTTGGCTGCGCTTTTCAGCACTTAAACAGGTGCTTAAAGCCTCACAAAGTTTGAAAACCTCTTTGCGTTGATGGCTTGTCTGCAGCTTACATGGTACAGAAAATGCAATTATCAGTCAAAGGATATTGCGTATGTCCAAGAGGTACCCTTCGGACTCTAGTGAGTTCGTATGTTTCGTTAACTTCTGCTCTTTTGTTTTCTTTTCTCCTTTCAATATAGCGGCTAGCGTCCTTAATGGCTGAGAAAGCAGCCCGTGGGAAAGATCTTACCATCAAAAAGTTCGCAAGACTGATCTTGTCCACACTTCCCCGTGGAGGTGGGGATGCTGACCAGATTCGAATGGGGTAAACGATTGCTTAGGCCAACAGCATGCTTTACTAAGCTTTTAGCTTGCAGAATATTAAACATTATGCGAGAGAACGGGATTCGCGAGGGACATAGGTAACAATGCAATCCTTATATGTTTTCTATTGACCTGAAACCAGGACAAAGTTTTAATGGTGTTGTGAAGGCCAGGAATTGAAGATCATTTTCTAGAACAGTGGCATCAAAAGCTGCATACCAACACTTCTTCAGAGGACATACACATATGTGAGGTACTAATGTGTTTATCCATGTTCAATGTCGCAGTGGGTTTGTGTGTGAGATGCAGGCTTACCTTCACTTTTTACGGACAAATAACATGGACAATTTTTATCAAACTCTATGGTCTGGAGTTCCAGTTTTTGACGAACGTTCTGATAGTTAAATAACTCAGGAACAACGGACGTATAAGCAAGGAATGGATAGAAACGATGGATCATCCTATCACTGGACATCCTGTCCATCTTCCCCACCTGATTCCTGCTTTTCAGGTGCTCTCTTCATTTACTGTTGACGGCTTAAAGTTTTTGATTGCTATTCCATATTCAGCATTTCCTTTGGATCTTGAAAACCGTTCACTCTGGCGCGGACCTGGATGTCATGGCTGAGATGAGCAAGGGGTACCTGGATGATGAGACCAAGAGCATAATTTACAATATACTTGGCAACCGGGATGCTTGGTTTGTATTTTCTTTGTGATTCCAAGTGCTAGTTTACAACTTAAGCTTGAACAGGTGGATACCTGGAGAACTTGTCAAGGCCAGGAAGAAACTTGAGAAAGTATGGAGAGGAGGTCTGGTGCAGAGGGACGTAATGCTGCTGGATATTGCTCTCAACAACTTTTTTGGGCTTTCTATTGGACGGATTGACAAGGTAAAACTCCAATTTTATATGCCAATTCTAACTCTCGTGTTTCAGTCTGCGCTAAGAGGAGATGACTTATGCGAGCTCCTATCTCTTGTTCTTGAGAACTGCTGCATCGATGCCGAAAGTGAGGAGCTTAACATGTGCCTGAAATACTGGAATAAAGTATGCACGTTGTCGATTTGCAAGCTTCTGTGTTGATAAGAACGTACAGGTGAAAGCAGAACCGAGATGGACATCAACCTGGGCGCTGCTGGCTATGTCCGCTGCTGATCGAATAGCACTCTCGGTTGAAGGTTTTTTCGTCTTTCTAGCAAGTTCATAGTTTTCACTGTTGCGAGCCTTGCAGATTATATGGATCACATTTACAAGATTGTACAACCGAATGCTGAAATTCTTGGTAAAGCATGTGGTATTGCTGAAAGCTACATAAAGAATTTCGGTGAAGAGGTTTGCAAGTTGTAAGCTATTTGTCGCTATTTTGTAACTAGTGCTCTACATAGGTTGTACGAGGACAAGTACTCTTTAATATATCCGGCCTTCTACAGAGATTGCAATCGATTCTTCGTGGAACTGCGGGACTAAGCACTTGGCAGGTGCACGTTCTAGAAAGTTTTTCTCTCTCTTGTTTTACTTTAGTTCTTGTAGGTTGTAAGCCATCAGCCTTCTGCGGTTGGAAAGGTCGTGGTCCTTCCAACGTTGTCATCAATTCAAGGTCTTACTTACTCGGAACCACATGTTGTTCTTACAGAGAAGGTGAGAGTTTCTTTTCTGATCTTTGCTTTGTCAAGATAATATAGGTAGATGGCATGGAAGACATACCAGTTGGTGTAACTGCTGTACTGTGTGCGAGCACTGTTGATATGCTCAGCCACGTTGCAATTCGTGCACGAGATTCTCAGGTACGTATTTTTTTAGGATGGAGTTAACTACATTCTTTTAGTGAACAGGTTTTGCTCTCTAGCTGCTTTAGCAGCGAGGAGTTTGGAAGTCTGAAGTCTTTCTCAGGTATTCCGTAAGAAGCTTTATAGTCAACGCCGTGACACTCTGTGAGGTTTTGTCAGGACAACATGTTCTTGTTAACATTGGTGCTTCAGGGCAAGTTCTAGTTTCTGAATGCGATGAACGTGCCGAACACGATCTCAAAGCCGAAAATTGTGGGTACATTTTGATACTCGTTGATGTTTAGTAAATTTTTGTTCTTCTACAGGCACTACGCACGTTAAAACTTCTTCCATAAAGAATTACCAGGTTTGTGTCTATCTTCCTTTACACCTCAATTTTCCTCATGCGCTTGTCTCTAGCTGGAGAAACTTGTGCTGTCAGAGGACGAGTTTG